TATCTAGTTCAGGCTGGTTTTGAACTCACTATGTACATCGTCCAGGCTGGCCTCAAACTCATGGCAGTCCTGCCTGATTCTCCCTAGTGCTGGGATAATGGGCAACCACATGTGGCTCCCTTTTCCCTTATGCCGCGTGAGGTCTCAGCATGGATATGACATTTTGGAAACAGAAAATAAGCCCTGGTCAGCTATTAACTGTGCTAATGTCTTGTTCTGAGACTTTTTAAACTGTATAACTGAGATTTATAAATTTCTACGTTTGTTGTTGTTGTTATCATCATCATATTATTATTATTATTGATCATGATAATGGGGATTGAACCTAGGGCTTCTACAGTAGGCACATCTCCATAATTTTTAAAGTTTTTGTTTTGAGATAGGGCATGAGATCTTTTAGTTGTAGCATATCATTTTAGAAGTTTCAAATAGAATTTGATTATGAAAGATAAATTTTTCTTGCATAAGGATTAAAAGTTTAGTAATTTTTCTATATAAAGGTTGATATTCATTTCTACTTACTAGACTGGTAAAGCTTATAAGTAGTTATATCTTCTGCTGTTTTTAATTCATTGCTCATAGATATGTTTTTACAAAGCAGTCTGGCTTTCTGTTCTGAAATTCAAAATGCAAATTTCATTCTGTGACATTCTGTTTCTGGGAATATATTTGATAGAAATGAATAAACTAATATATTTTATTTACTGTACATTTACTGAGTTCTTGTAGCTAAAAACTAAGTACAAAGAGCCGGGGAGATGGCTCAGTGGAATATGCGCTTTCCTGGCGAACGCAAGGGCCTGAGTTCAATCCCTGGTTCCAAAAAAAAAAACCTAAGTACAAAATTAGTAGGACAACTAACATACAGTGACATATTCTTACTGAAATGTTATGCATTTATTAATTGGTTAATCAGACCTATACATGATATTGTGTGAAAACATGGTAGGGGTAAGGGGCCGGGGAGATGGCTCAGTGGAATAAGTGCTTCCCTGGCAAGCTCAAGCACCTGAGTTCAATCCCCGGTTCCA